TCTCTCTGTGCCCCTCCCCTGCTCGTGCTCTGTCTCTCTCTCTCTCTCTCTCAAAAATAAACATTAAAAAAAAAAAACATTGGGGTGAGGGAGAAATGTATGCTCAGAACACGCTATACGAGTAACCAGTGTCTGTTTAGTGAAGCTAAGACTGATGGTGGAGGGACAGCTTCAAAGTTCGAGAACCTAGCCCTCTTGCTGTTGTTTTTAAGTGTTTGGTAAGGCAATGTGGGGAGTGAGAGCTCTACGTTCTAATTTTCTGGAATATTTTGATGCATCAACCTGAAAACATTGCTGGGACAGTCACGTTACGGTGAGAATGGGGGAACGGTTTGCAGGCTTTGAAAATTTGCCTAAAGTATGAAACAAGCAAAAAGAAAAAAAACAACCACCCAGTACTGAATGAATATTAATTGACCTAAGAAGGGCGAAAAGGTTAGAGAAGAACTACATGTCAGTCAAAATAGGCCTTCTGGGTACTACACAGATTCTACAAATCTACTAAACACGTAAGCACATATTCTCTTGAGGATTTCTAACATTTTAAGAATTTTTTTCATGTTGGTGATGCTATTTTGAAGAGTTGAGTTTTGTGGAATTTGGTTGGTTGGGGGTTGGGTGGCCCTTATTTGGGGATAGAGTCATTGTGTTAATTTTAAATACTTTCATTCCCTCAGGCACTTTTGACTAATTTGTAGGTCATGCCGTAAAAAGGTGACCCCCGCCAAAAAAAAAACCCACTTAAGTTACAGCAAAGTGATATTTGCCCAAAAAAGAAAAGAAAGGAAATCAGGCTGGGTGTATCGGCTTTGCTGCAGAGTGCATGTGTGAGTGCGTTGATGGAAAGGAGTTGCAGGGGCGCCTGGCTGGTTCGGTAGGAGGAGCATGTAACTCTTGATATCGGGTCGTGGGTTCGAGACCCATGCTGGGTGTAGAGATTACTAAAAAATGTAAATAAACTTTAAAAAATTTCTAAAAAAAGAACAGGTGCAGATCTGGTGTTGGGCTGAAAAGCAGCCCAACAGAGCTGACCGTTGAGTAGTGGCATCCCAACACCGCAGACTGGGGCCCCGGGGCCTGGCTCAGACTGGAAAGGTTGGGAGCAGACTGGGATCGCTTTTTCAGGCTGACAAGGCGTATTGCAGAGGAAAAGAAAAACGTTAAGGTTTGGTGACTAGCTCTTTCTCCTTCCTGGGTTTCCTAATGCACTCTCAGTGGCATTCTGAAGGGGAAAGAAGCCACAAGAAACAAATCGGGGAGAAAACAGTGTTCTCACAGATTTCCCAACCAGACAGTTGAATTTCTCCAAGAAACTTAATACATGGTTTCCTCCTTTCTTTTGCAAACAGAACTGTTTTGTAAAGCCAATGTTGAGAATACAGCCCATATCAGGGCGCCCGGGTGGCTCAGTCGATTAAGCCTCTGACTCTTGGTTTCAGCTCAGGTCATGATCTTACTGTTTGTGAGTTTGAGCCCCGCATCAGGCTCTATGCTGACAGCATGGAGCCTGCTTGAGATTCTCTCTCCCTCTTTCTCTGCCCCTCCTCCACTTCCTCTCTATCTCTCTCTCTCAAAATAAGTAAATAAACATTATTTTAAAAATTTTAAGAAGAGAGAATACAGCCCATACAACAGCCAGCTTTTGTTATCTTATGTTTATGGGTATTTGACCACTGGTATGTTCAGATCCACCCCCCAACCCCGGAATGAGCTCGATCACACCGGCCTTGTTGAAGCTATGTATTTATGCAGCAGAAATACCACAAATCTTAAAATAGGAGTGCAAGCATGAGGCCTCAGGCAGGGAGAGAAGGCCTTTTGTGCCACTCAAGATGCGTAGTTTGGAAACTTTAGAAGGGATTTCAATCTAATGTTAACCCCATTAACTAGGACACCGAGAAGATAGTCAAGTCTAACTGACCGTTTTGTTTGCTTGTTTGCAAAACTATCGGGCAGGTATTTAGGAAGAAGAAGCCATTTTATGACCCCTTTACCCTCATTGTTGTCAACCACCTTCCTAAAGTGCTGTTTCACCTTGCCTTAAGAAAAAGGGATGGGATTGGGACCTCCTGGTTGTGTAGCAGCTCCGAGGGGCCCTGCCCTGCCCTGCCCTGCCCTGCCCTGTCCTACCCTGCTGGACTAGAGTGGCTCGGGTCCGGGATCCTGGAACTGTGGCCAGAGTGAGCTGACCTGGCCCTGAGCCTGGAAAGGTTTGTAGGGTGGGGCAAGTTGGAGCATGCAGAATTGACGACCGTGACGATGGTGTGCCTCTTTCCCCTAGACTCCTGGGCGGCCAAAGAGTCTTGAGCATTTTAGTTAATTTGGGTCAAGTTGGTCTCCACTTTCCTTAACACTACGGGTTGAAGTATCAAGGCAGTGTGCCTGGCCCCTGCAACAATCACGCCCCAGTGAGACGAGCCACAAACTCCATGGGACCCCATGACGAGGCCTTCCTTGCCAGACTGCTTTTGAATTCTCAAGAGGTTTCGGAGGAGTAATGACCCCTTAGACATCCTTGAAGGAAATCTGTCTGAAAACCCAACGCGTTTCTTCCTATTAATTATTTACTTTGCACCAAAGATAGGCTTGTCAAACAGGAAGCTGTTCCCCTCAATATGACCTTAAATAGGGCCCCCTATTGACAATGCCCACATTATCCCCAAAACAAGGTGACACTGTCCCTAGTGAGGAGACGGCAGGAGGTAACTGGCGGTAACAGGTGGTCGTCAGCCGCCAGGATACAGACCCTTCTTTATCCTGTTACCAGGTAGTTGATCCGCAAGAAGCGGGTGTGACTCATAAGTAGACCTGCATCCGATACCTGAAAAAACCGTTTGAATCTTAAAATTGGGAAGAGAGGGACAAAGTGATAAGCCGACTCCGGAACTTGGCACATAGCTGGTGCTCACTAAGGGGGAGCTAAAGGGAGGGGGTGTGGTGGTAACTTCCCTGAGCAAACAGCTTCCCTTGGCGCAGCATGAAATCTCAGTGGTACACACACTCGCACGTAGGTAGTGGCTTTTGTCTTCGGACGTTAACTGTTCGATGTACTAAACCGATGCCCTTTTCCCTCTGACTGCAGGTTTGGTTTAAGAACAGGAGAGCCAAGCTCAGGAGACATGAGAGGGCATCAATGCCCACAACTACTCCACCTACTAACCTGGAACACCTGGTCATCCTAATGCTGGACGGGCCCTAGAATGTCGCTCTCGTTCAGAAGCCAGATTGGAGATGGGTTCTTCCGGTGCCACTGACACCCGGGCCGCCTTGTTGCCCCTGCCACCCTTTTCTCCTCCGTAGTTGTGTTATCAATAAAGAGAAAATTTTTCTGTGCCTTTGCCTTTGTGTATCAAACGGGAGCAAGTAGGGTGTGCATGCAAATTGCAAAGGAAATGCCATTTACACAGAATGACAAGGAGGCCTCCTTTCATGAGGAGACCTCCCTGAGTCACCATCCGGAGGCCCTGCATGTCACAGAAGTTCCCCGAGTGCCCACGATGACTCGGCACTGACCTGTATCTCCACCATCCCTCCCTCCCTCACCCCGTCGTCATCCCCACCTTGCTCCTTCGGGACCACAAGTATGTGCAAAATGGGGTGGGAGGAGTCCCTAGTGAGAGAGCAGTGTTCCTTCCAGAGATGAGCTCCATCCATGCTGACAAGTTCAGGCCGAACCCTGGACTCTGGGGAAAACCTCCTAAGAGGTTACTCACGGGGATTTATGGGAAGGCGGCCACCGAACATGCATACATTATGTTTCCAATCCTGGTCACTACCCGCCCTTTTGCGGAGGAGACTGGGGACTAGAAGCCATTCTGGCACACAGGTTCTGCGGCTTTAAAAGAAAAATGAGAAGGGATTCCATCAAGGCCAGAAAGAGGCTCTTCTCCCTTTTTTCCCCCTCCCCCCACCAGCCGAGGAAAGCACATTATTGATCCTTCCCCAGCTCAGAAGCATTTTGTCACCCTTCACATCCTTGAGAGCACCCCAATTCCAAACACTAAAAGGGGGCCTGTTGGTTTACTGCTGCTCAGAGCAAGAGTAAGGAAACGGTCGGAGCAGTGTTCTAGAATAATCCCTCCTTGTAAAGAAGAAGTCGTACCTCCGCTGTCTTTGTGTGAGAAGACCAGTGTAGGAAAAAACCCAAACAAGTAAGGGTCAGTGAAGTGCAGAGGCCATGCCCCTCTTCTCTGCGTCGTTCCAATTTTGGCGTATGCGCTGCCGAAGCGAACGCGGGCCCCCTTTTTAAAAAGCGTTAAAGGGGCGCCTGGGTGGCGCAGTCGGTTAAGCGTCCGAC